TTTGGTAGCTATTGTGAATGAGGTAATGCCTATAAGTTCTTTCTTAGTGAGTTTGCTGTTGGTGTATAAAAATGTTAGTGATTTGGGAGTACTTATTTTGTGTCTTGCAATTGTGCTGAATTTTCTTATCAGTTATAGCAGTCTCTTTGTGGAATCTTTTGATTGCTCTCTATAATATGTCATCTACAAACACAGATAATTTGACTTATCTGTATGACTTTTATCTTTCTCTTGCCTAATGGCTTTGCTAAAACCCTTGCTGGAGTCTCCGTGTGCACAGGTTCTAGTAGCAAGGAGCAATGCCCTGAGTGGCTAGGCAGAGGGGAGAGTGGGGGAAAAGGACAACCCACAGCCCTGAAGAAGTAGACATCCCTACTTCTGGGATTCTGAGACTCAGGTCTCCGAGGTGCTCTGTACGCATGGTGCTTTGAAGAGACTCCTCTGTGGGCTAGGATGCTGGGGTCAGCTGGAACTGTGAGGCAACTGTCTTTCTTGCCACATTTCTATAATGTCTGTGGGACTCCTGAGATGGATATATGAAAGGAACCGTTGGAATGTCAAAGGTGACTCCTTTCTCAAGATGGCGCCACACGGTAGCAGCCTGTTCTCTGAGGGTTGTGGGAGGAGACAATGAGTTCTTTCTCTGAAGTAGAGTGGCCCTGAGTTTTTCTGGTAGCTCTCTTTACTGAGCTCCTACTCTGTCATGACTAAATTTCTCTCTCCTGAGGATTACCCATGCAAGATATGCAATGGGCTCCCCTGCTCACATTTCCTCTGCAGCAGGGATTCCCAGGATCATGGGGCTGGGGCTTTTATGGCCAGCTGGCTTTATTCTCTCGATGCTGCCATCCCTGGCCTCTGTGTCTTCCTGGGTTCCTGTTATTCTCTTACTGAGCTCCAGTGCTCTTCCTCAGGTACTCACAACAATGCCTTCGTTGCTTTGGTATTCAGCCATCTTGCCTGCTCCCAGAAAATCTCAGTAGCTTCTCTATGCCTTTACTCCCTTCTTCCATCTTAGAGATTTCCAATGTTATAATATTTGTTCATTTAATCATTTCTCAAAGGTCTTAGATGCTATATTTATTTTTCACTGCCTTTTTTTTTTCTTAGAAGGGAGAATCTGAGTATCTCAAAAGACTTGGCTTGAAATTCAGATAATCTTTCTTCTCCTTGAGCTAGTCTGTTATTGAGTTTTTCAACTGTGGTTTTTAAAACAAACATCTTTTTCTTAAAAAAAAGATGTATTTTATTTATTTGAAAGGCAGAGTGACAGAGAAGAGATCTTCCATCTGCTGATAAACTTCCCAAATGGCTGTGATGGTGGGAGCTTGGCCAGACTGAAGGCAAGAGTCAGGAAGTTCATCCAGGTCTCCCACATGCGTGGCAGGGGCCTAAGTCCGAGTCATCCTCTGCTGCTTTCACGTGAGCATTCGCAGGAAGCTGGCTCAGAAGCAGAACAGCCAGGACTCAAACCTGAGCTCTAATGTGGGGGATGCCAGCGTCGCCGGCAGCAGCTTAACCTGTTACACCACACTGCTGGCCACCCACCTGGTGTTTTTTGTTTACCCACTGAATTCTTCATGCCTAAGATTTCTGTTTGATTCTTTTAGAGATTTGTATCTCTTTGCTCAAGTCCTTATTCAAATCAGGTATTGATTCCCAATTTTGTTAGACTGTCTGCCTGTATTTTATCTTTGAGCATCATTTAAATTCTTTATAACATATTTTCCCCATCTCTTTGGAGTCTATTACTAAAGCACTAGCTTGTTCTTTTGGGGATCATACTGCCTTGTTTTGCAGATTTCCTATCTCCTGATGTTGATATTTACACATCAGTCAGACCAGCAGTCTCTCCCTTTTGAAGAGTGACTTTCATGGTAAAAGGATTTTTCCTAAATGTATCTTTGGGTGCTGGTTCTGTAGGATTTTTAGGATTTAGTTCCAATTGGATGCTGTAGTGCCATCTTTATCTTCTTCCTCTGTAATCAATGGCAGGGATCTGAGGAGGAGCATCACATTGGCAGACAGCTGGACGGGGCCTAGGTCACAGGGGCACCCGCCCTCAATTTGTAGTGACTGGAAGAATTGGGAACGCTGGGCAGAAGTCTGGCAGGAGAGTACAGTTCCCCACAGTCCCAGTCCTAGGTTTCTATACAATGTCCTAGCTTTCATATATCTTTTCTTCACACAAGCACCTGATTACTGCCTCCATGTTGTTTTGCCTGAGACTAGGGAGGAATGGGGTGAGCCTCCTATGCTGCAATGCTACATCACAGCTGGAGCCCACCAAGACCAGTGCAGCACGAGGGTATGGCTGAGGCCCATGCACTCAACCACAGGTGATGATGAGTGGATGTAAGTGCGGTCAAGTGGGACCATGGTTCTTCATCTAGCACTGGGGCATGTCTAGGGGCTCTGTGTGCAGGCACCGGCCTGGGCACACCAATTGTTAAGATCTAACCAGTAAGGAATTTTATTGGAAGAACTCTGTTTTCCAGGACACAGTCCTGTGCTCTCTTGGGTGTCCTTCTCCCCAGTGACTGGCGTTGTTCCCAGCTGTACGCCCAAGAATGGGAGAGGAGTGATGAAGGCAGTCCCTTGGTCATGCAGGCTGACACTGAGTTGAGTTGCACCTGGGTCTCATGGTTACCAGGGGCTGTACAGACTCAGGGGTGCATGTCAGGCCTGTGCAATGCGGGTGGTGTTTAACATCAAAATGAGTCCATCCCACCAGGGTGCAGTTCTGTGCTTGATCACAGAAGATAGGATCCAGGATTTGGGACTTTATCCACGGCTGGGTCTTACTGTTGGACCCCCGGCACTGCACTTCAAGGCAAAGTCCTAAACTCACATTTCTGTCCTGCACCCCAGTTCCAGAAGTCTTTGTCCACTGTGTGCTAAGCACTTGTCTAAGGAAGGTCCAAGGGCTCAGTCTGTAGTTACTGGTCTGGGAATAGGGACCTTAGGGTCCTCCTGTCCAATGCTGGGTTTCACCATACGAGAAGGATTGATGCTGAGATTGAAGTCTAAGATCTGGGCTTAATTCCTTGCCAGCCCCCGAGGGGAAGGAAAGACTTCTCTCTCCAAGCTGAACTTTTTAGGGCAATGGAAAGGGTGATATGGGCACTTAATCCTCCCATTCTGTAATGCATCTATTCTTATACTAAAACCTGACTTCTATAGCTCTTGTGACTTGGTGCCTGAGTAACTGTGCACATCAGTGTTTTTGTGTCTGTGTGGGGGAGATGATCACTGGAGTATCTTACTTCTTCCAAGAAAATAAATCTGTATAGAATTTATAATCTAAACAAATGTGCCTTTTTTGTAACTTATGGCTTCAAGGAATCCTTTGGCAGAGGAATTTTGTTCTGGGGATAATGAAGGAACCACCTGTCCAAGACAACATTAACCATGGCCTTTTCTGCCAACTATTAATGTAAATTGTCAGTTATCACAATATTTAAAATATAGTACAGGGAGAGTTCTAAGTTTTGTTGTTTAGTGGGGGAAAAAAAGCAAGCTGAACGACCATATAATATGTTATCTTCCTTGAAGGAAGAAGAAAAAATACAAAAATACAAAGGGATAATAAATGGCTGAAAAGTGGTACAAGGAATTTATAAAAGAATAAATTGGATTGTAGATTGGATCCAGGGTGGAGGCAAGACTGTCATGTAGTATCTTTGTCTTGTTCTGATTTTTGAATCATGTTCCCTTTGTTTTGTTGTAAACATCATTTGTGTGTGTGTGCTGTGTATGTGTACATGTGTGAAGTCCAGTACTCACACATAAGTAAAACTTCATTCCCATCCCTGGTTTAACATTTCTCACCTTCCCCAAGCTCAGGCCTGACACCTGCAGAGGGGGAGGAGTCAGTGGGTATCTCCCCTCTTTGCGCTCCCATTCCCGCTGCTGCTTTCGGTTGTTCAGTAATGTGATGGTAGAGGCAAGATATTACAGGGCCTATGAATCAATAGACATGTGTTTCATTTTTCCTGCCATCTACATTATTTATGCTGAAATATTGGCTGTTCTTTTTTTTACCTCCTGGGGACTTTTTGTGGTCCTTTTGGAGACAACTAAACACACAAGACAGTACCTTGAACATTTTACATGCTCTGATATCTTGACTTCATTTTTATAATTCTTTCTCTGACTCCTTTACCAACAATCATCTCCTTGCAGCCTCTTAGTCACCATCAAGGTCAGTAATCTCTGGAGCTTCAAGAGATCTTTGCATGACCTGCCATGTGGCTTTAAAAAATTGATGGCTTTTAATAAGTCTCAGGTTCTGTGTTATCTATGAATTCACTTGGTAGCCCTGATCAGCCCATCACCCTCATTTTTTTGTTTTTGTTTTTTGAGGTGAGAATTGGGAACAAGTGTCCGTTCTCTAGCAATGCAAACTGACACTGGTCAAATCTAGATGTGCCAAATGTCACCTAAAGGGTAATTGACAAGCTTGAGAGCCGCAGCACTAGGTTAACAACACTGTCCAAATCCTCTTTCCTAGTGTTCTTATCACTAAGCTAATTATGAGGCGAGGTTTGGACAACAGCTAAAAATACACTTGAGACTGCCCCTTCTCGTGCCCTGCAAGGAAGACCTGATATGTATGGGCACATAACACCCTTTCTCAGCAGGAACTCCGAAACATGACACAATAGGAAAAATCTTTCTATCACTAAAAACCAATATAAGCCTATACATGTCTCCGACATTTAAAATCTGGCCTAAGAAAAGTGAGAGGAGAAAGAGAAAAATTAAGTTTTTTCTCTATTTATAACCTTAGCATTTAACTATTTTATGATATTAAAGTATTTGGATTAAAACTTGCATTTTTCAGATTAATTTTAATCTAACCGTATGAAGAAAACCTTTTATGTTTTAGTAGGGTTTGTAGAAACACTCAAATTCTTGTTTGTGATGAAGAGGGGTTAAGAAAGAGGAACAAAGAGGAGAGGAAAAGAAGATAAGAGGAAGAGAGGGTGAAAAACCACCTGGTTTCATCGATATAAACTGCTTCCAACACAGAGGCCGCATATTCAATGTTCTTCTTCAAGTCCACGACGTTGACATCACCTTTTTCCAGCTGCTTCACTAAGCATCTTAATCTGTTTCAAAAAAAATGCCAAAGAGAAAGAGAAAAAAAGATACGTCTTATAACTACATGGCAAAAAAGTATAATATTAAGTACACAAATTGAATACAACTTTAACATCATTACTTCTAGGTCATCAAAAATAACTTTTTAGATTTTTTGGTATAATTAAGATTAATATTTACCACTTCAGCAATTTGTAAAAACTATATTTACCTGTCACTAACATCAAGGGTACACATAGCTAAAGTGCCACCTTTTAAGTAGTCTTCTTGAAAAATGAAACATTACAGACATTCCTAACAACAGAATTCCATGGAGGTTCTGGTTCCTCAGGGTTGTTGCTAGGAGAATATCTAAAGGTGCTATTCTGACTGCCACGAAGCCATTGGTCACTGGATATGGCAATAGAAACAAAGATGAAAGGCAAAAGTTTCCTACACATTTGCTGTAACGAAAAAAATGTATGTGTTGAATGTTTTTATTACAAAGGCTTTTTATATGAGAATCCTGGGAAGTATTTTCTCTCATTTTTGCCCATAGGATGATGTGTTCCAGCTCTCGGAGGAATTTGAAAGCATAGGACACAATTGTGTCTAGATTCCTGATTTAGAGAAATGGAGTGTAATTCATACTATTGTTTAAAGTCACTAAATTTGGGGTAATTGTTGTGTAACAATAGATATCCAAAGAGTGACATTGGACAAATTACATCAAACGTGTAATACTTTTGGAACCCTCTATGCATTCAATAGTAAACTAAACGTTTCTGAAAACATTGCCCTCTACTAAGCAGATAAGTAACAAATATTCCTCATTCTTTACTTACAATAGGTGTGCAACAGGAAGACAATTTACTTTCCTAAATCATCAGAAAGGATTTAATTGCACACCCATTTACAGGTACTTCCAAAGAGAATAGACTGTCTACTTTGAGGCACTATATTAGAGGCAACCTACCAGATTTTCTGAAAATTTATTTTGGATGATTTCCAGTCAAGGTTTAGAATACAGAGACAAGTTAGGAATTTCAGAAAAGGTGTTTGATATCCCCCCCCACACACAAGAAACACTTTATTTCTCCATGGAAAAAAGTTACATCTATATTAAAACTTCTTTTTCAGGGAGCTGTAAAAGTTTTTACGATCTCCTATTATGGGATAAAATATTAGCAGGCAACATCATTGAAAAATTTTATAGACCCTTAAATGTCAGCAAAGTGTGAAGCAAAGCACAATAAAAATAACAACTAAAACATGTTACTAAGAAAGGAAAAATAGGCCTGGCTTTCAGGCTCATCTGAAACACTGGCTACGGTGCTAACAGAGCAACACATGGAGGGATTCTAGATTTTTGTAGTGCTTTTTGTGACCCCAGAGATTATATTTAGTAAAATTTTCTTTATTCTTTAAAGCAAAAGAAAAAAAAATTTTTCCATAGCTCTACAATGGCTTTTTTACTTGTTGAATATTACAATTAGCTGTGAATTAAATCTGTGATTACAGTGAATTTAAATGAAAAATAAACTGTATATATGAGTTATATCAAATTTTTTCCCTTTATATAGGTAAAAATTTTTTTTCAATGGTAAAAAATATATCATCTTATATCCCTCTTGTGAGGGTTGTATGACGTGTTCTAAAAATCATAAGTACTTAAGATTGTTGCCTCCTGTTTCTAAAGTTCTGCACTCTGTTTATATTTGAGTTAATAATTTTCCACACTAAAAAGTATTTTATTAGTTTCTCTTAAAGCTAGATATGGTCTTGTGATAAAATTTTCAAAACAGTTATTTTGAAGGGGACTAACTCAGCTGGAAGGAGTGGCTTGCCTGCCTTTCCCACCCTGCAATGCTTGGATGCAGAGAAAGCATCTGGTAGTCCAGCTGGTTTCTGGGGTTATCAGATGAACTGGTAGAAGCTACACTAAGAATGGGAGATAAGTGGCCATGGGCGGAGGGCCTGAACATCATGCTGTGATATTGTACTTGAATGGATTTGCCCACCTCTGGACTTTTTTGAGATACAGTACAACCAATATCACGTTGATTTCTTTAATGCCTAGCTGAATCCAATCCTGACTGATAAATAAAAAATAATAAATCCAAACAAAGAACTCAAGAATGAAGAAGTCTTCATACAAAACAAGAGGGGGAAGCCCCTTGGAGTCTATACACAGAAGCACATTCTAACTCATAATGGCCTGCAGGGGAATAATCCCATCAGCAACCAAAACCACAACCCTGTGACCTAAAGAGGCTATAATCCTTGCACAATAAACATGCTGTTTCATGGAGACCTCTCAATGTGGTTTGAAAACAAAATATTATTCATTATCATTCCCTCATGAGAGTATAAACCTATAATCCAACACAAGAACTTCTGTGGGGAAAAATATCTCAGAAAATTTTACCATCTGTTAGAATGTCTAAATACACACTGCTCTAACTCTGTAAAAGTGCATCCTCTCACACACGCATACACCTAAACTCACTTTGTTAAGCCAAAAGACTGGATTACATATAATCATTGGGTTAGTATTACTCCTGTTTTCTTCTTTGCCTACACATAACAAGTTTTAATTAATAGCACACAACTCTCCTTCTATAAATCGAAAACAATTATCTAAAGAATATTTATAATTAGAATACTAGGGTAATGAAATGATTCATATAATTATTATCATAATTGTGAATTTGCTTATGTAATCAAGTTGTACATGTGCTATTTCCAGGGATCTTACTTAGGCTAGTATTTCACTTTCTTCATAGATAATATGAGCACAATGACAAACATCTTTATGAATCATTTTCAAATAATCAAACATTTTAAATCAGTAGGTTCTGACATGTTAAGTTTTTACTGAATACATCTGTGTAACTTATTTGTATTATTGAGAAGATACCACTTACCTAATTCATAATATATACCTTTTTAGAGATTTTTCAGAATAGTTTTAAATGTACAAAGCAAAAATTGTGAGATAATACTACAAAGAGTTCCTCTATCACCTTTCACTCCATTTCCTCTACACACATCTCATATTATGTTTGGCACAATTAGTGAACCATACCCAGGTTCCCCTATATTTTTAATCCAAGAATGTTTTATCTTTCCTACCTCTCCCAATATTCTCTGTTCAGATTGAGTTCTTTTTTTTCCTTTAATTTTAGCTCCCACCTAAGGAAGAATATGCCATATTTCCTATGGACAAATTCTCAGAGTTGAAGAAATCACAAAGCCATATGCAACTATAAACAAGTTCCTTTAATTTATTAAAAACTTTTAAAAATAATTATTGGATTTCTTAAAGCCCATGAGAGTATTACAGGCATGGAAAGCCAAAACACTCTGGCAAAAACAAACAAACAAACAAACAAACACACCTAAATGAAAGATCTCCGCGAGTGAGATCCCAGTGAAAAGAACAGGTCATTAAGGAAGGAGGTACCTTTCTCTGAAGGGAGGAGAGAACTTCCACTTTGACCATGGCCTTGTCTAAATATGATCAGAGTTGGTGAATTCAAAAGGCTTCCATAGCCTTGGCAACTCATGACAAGAGCCTAGGGGGATTACTGATGCCATAAACAAGAGTGTCAATTTGTTAAGTCAACAACAGGAGTCATTGTGCACTTACTCCTCATGTAGGATCTCTGTCCTTAGTGTGCTGTACATTGTGATTTAATGCTATAACTAGTACTCAAACAGTATTTTTCACTTTGTGTTTCTATGTGGGTGCAAACTGTTGAAATCTTTACTTAATGTATGCTAAACTGATCTTCTGTATATAAAGAGAATTGAAAATGAATCTTGATGTGAATGGAAGGGGGGAGGGAGAGGGAAAGGGGAGGGTTGCGAGTGGGAGGGAAGTTATTGGGCGGGGGGAAGCCATTGTAATCCATATTCTGTACTTTGGAAATTTATATTCATTAAATAAAAGTTAAAAAAATTATTGGATTTCTTTCATTAGAATGTTAAAGCTGAGTGGAAAATAGTGCTCTTAATGTCTGGCTGAGGCATGTGGGTTTTGTTTCCAGACTTTAAGATAAGTATAGTTTCTTGATGTTCTACCCTGAGCAGTTTCAGACTCAGCAGTCTGTGGACTGGGAATTCCGTTGGCTCTTGTGTTTGGTAACAACAAAAATTAGTAGTCATCCTATCAAGCAATATAAACTAACTGTTAATAAGCAAACTATTGTCAGAAAGGTGTTAAGTCAGTTAAATCAATGATTATTTGGAACAAGTTACTACACTCAGGGACACACATGGGGACACATATAAAGGTACACACACAAATATAATGAATGGGAATCTGTGTATGCACCATACTACTTCTCTTCAAGATATTTTCAATCTGGGGGTCGCACCAATTGTTGAAATGCATGTATTTCCCATTACTGCTTTCATTCATTTCTAATTTCCAAGCAAGCTGGTTTAGTCTCAGTTCCTCATAAACCCTCATATCATCTGAGATTCAAGTTCCATTTCTTCCTGGAATTCCTTCCTCCCACATCCCTACCATCGTTAATTGTCTAAATCATGTTTAGTTACCAGTCATTTCCAGGATGCTTCCTTTGAAGATGCTCATTCCTTATGATCTCCCCCTGCTTAGAAACTAAGCCACACTTCATTTATTGCTCACTAACAGCAACGAAATTTCTCTCACTTCTAGTATCATTTCAGCTCTTTTCCTCATTGATCTCTCATTATAGAAAAAATTACTAGGCATGCAAAGAAGTGGGAAATCTGATCAATAATGAAGATCAAAATAAGTCAGGTGAAAATGACCCAAATATGTCAAAGATAATAGGATTAATAGACAAATTTTGAAATTATTAAAATAAGCAACATTATGTCAAATTTTACAACTTAGATGGAGCGAACAATTTTCTTTAAAAAGACAAAGTGCCAAATCTCAAGGAGAAACAAACTGAATTTGCAGTTTTAAGTCTTCACTAAAAATCAGAAGAGGTTAAGTTAAAATAATAGCTATGGGAGCTGGTGCTGTGGTGCA